AAAAGCTTTGTGGGAATTTATTGGCACCAGGGTGAAGTTTATGGTAAGTTTTTCCTCATAAAACTGTATCTTGATGTATGTTTGTTTTTCAATATCATTAACATCGCAAGATTTGTTTAGTTTACACGTCCGTAATGCACATCCGCCTTCAGAGTCAAGAACCAATCAAATTTCGTGAAGACAAGCGACCTGAGAGCGAGATTCACAACGCTGCGATCGCTATCACGTCCCGTGTGTCGGGATTCACCCTGGCTGCGATGACAGCCGTTAATCGCTGTAGTTTGTCGCTCCCCGTGTGTCGAACCCTTAACAAATTGATTTAATATCATATTGTGATAAAACTGGTGATTTACATCCCTAACATCGGTCCACATCGCTCATATCATGACGAYATGATGGATGTTTTTGTTTTGCCTCAATGTAATTCAATCATTTGAGTGTGGATTCATGTATTATTGTTTTAAACTCTCTGAACTTCATGAAAGCAGCAGATAAATCTAAAGTTAAAGTCTGTTTTATGTTTTTAAATCCATTTTCAGCCCTCGACCCTGATCGTGTCCCGGGGTGTTTTTGTGTTTAAGCAGGGGTTCAGTCACTTCATGGTTCTGGTTCWGAGGCGGGTTGATCCAGACCCTTAGTTCTGGTCACCTTTCAGTTTCAGGTCACTGACACGCGTCCATCTCTGTTTCATCAGGGGAGCGTATCCTGGGTTACCCGGAGGAACCGTGCTACCTCTGGTTCGTCATGGAGTTCTGCGAAGGCGGCGACCTCAACCAGTACATCCTGTCCCGGCGGCCCGACCCGCAGACCAACAGGAGCTTCATGCGCCAGCTGACCAGCGCCATCGCCTTCCTGCACAAGAACAACATCGTCCACCGCGACCTGAAGCCAGACAACATTCTGATCTCGCAGACGTCCGGTTCTCCGGTCCTGAAGGTGGCGGACTTTGGTCTCAGTAAGGTTTGTGCCTGCCTGAGCTCTAAGAGTGGGGAGGAGCACCCCGCGGCTGGCTGCGGCGCCGGGGGAGCAGCAGGCGGCGGCAAAGGGAGCAACCAGAACATCAACAAGTTCTGGCTGTCGTCGGCGTGTGGGTCGGACTTCTACATGGCCCCCGAGGTGTGGGAGGGCCACTACACGGCCAAGGCGGACATCTTCGCCCTGGGCATCATCATCTGGGCCATGATCGAGCGCATCACCTTCATCGACGCCGAGTCCAAGCGCGAGCTGCTGGGCACCTACGTCCGGCAGGGCACCGAGATTGTTCCCGTCGGAGAAGCTCTGCTGGAGAACCCCAAGATGGTCCTCCACATCCCCCAGAAGGCCCGGAGCGCCATGTCCCAGGGGGTGAAGGAGCTGCTGCTGGACATGCTGGCAGTCAACCCTCAGGACCGACCCGACGCCTTCCAGCTGGAGGTCCGCATGGACCAGGTCACGTGTGCTGCGTGACGAACACCCGGACCCCCCGGGAACTTTTCCCTTTCTCCCTCCGACTCAACAATAAGGGAACAGAAACTCCCCCAGGTAAGATCACTYCCTTTGTTACGACCTAACACCGTATGGACGTGATTGTCTGTTAGCAAAATATCTCACCTGTTGGATTTAAACGTCAAAGTAATCCTAGTTTGAACATCTCCTGAGCTCAGGTTAGGTGKGGTAGTAGCTCAGAGTCTTCCTCATGCACTCTGAAGGCTAACAGATTAGCATTTCTTGAACAAATTATCACCTGACAGGTTCATTCATTTTAAAGTGACTGTGACATAAAAGTTTTGCAACAAACTTGGATACATGTTTGGAGTGACAACACTGACAACATGTTGCAAAACAAATTTCACGCCGCTGAGATGAACGTTTGTTGAGATATTTGCATGTGAAGAAACAGGAAGTGATGTCAAAGTCTGCATGTGAACAGAGCGTCGTTACAACAGCTAACAGTAGAATCTGATGTTTCTTTTGATTATTTTGAGTCACGATCAAAGAGAGATGAAGAAGAGTTAAAGTTTAAATAATATTGTTTAAATAAACAAAAACCAGATTATTTTCTTAAAGAGGTCCCCTTTGATGTCACTTCCTGTTTCACTTTGACCGAGCCAAATTCAAAAGAAAATAGGCCAGTTATGGGACAAAATGGGTAAAATCATGTGTATTATGCCAGTTTTTTAAAGTATAAAGGTGTTTTATTTGACTTTTTGTAGACATGTCACAGAAACTTAAAGCATTTAATGACGTGCTGTCAGTAACGATACATCAATGTATCTGTATCGACCAAACAACACAGATCAATATGTTGATCTGATGTGGATCATAACAGATTTTACGATATCCTGAAACGTCATATGGTGATAAAGCTGCTGATCTACACCCCCCCCCCCCCCCCCCCCCCC